ATAGAAGCAAGTTAAGAGTTGTCGAATTCGAATAAAATCTTGCGCATCTTATTTTTAGGCCAAAATACATATTTTTCCACCCGGGAAGATGTATGTACATTTCAAAAACAGTTTAAATAACGAAGAGTCTAATGTGCTTGCGATATTTGTATCTACAATATGTTGTTTATTCGCATACTCCTACTGGCGTCGAGATGTGTTTATATCATCAGTAGGCTTCTCATGTCCAATTTGTTCGCTCTCTACTTCACACCACAAAAATGTATGTATATACATACTTACGTGTAGGTTTGCTTTTTATTTGTTTTCATTCTGTTAAACCTTTGAAATGAATAAATTTTAGATATTCGGTCGATTTTTATCTTTTTAGCTAGTTGTTATGTGTTCATGTTTTATTGCAATGAAGTTGACATTCTGTCGTCGCTCACATCGCATCGCTTTTGCCCCATAAATTCCTAGCTGTAATGACATATGTATGTATGTATGTACGTTTTCGCTTCACCGAAGTCTTTTCTCTATTTTCGCGAATTGCACAAATCACGTTTTCCGCATTTCAAGATTTTGTGTTGATGTATTCCAAGAGCATTTACAATTAGTACATATTTATGTGATGATATGTGTCTATTCATTACTGTGGTTTTTGACAGTGTAGACCGAGGAGAAAGTTTGCGTTTCCGAATAAGAAGAGTGTTATAGGAAAAGCTAAGGATTATTAGTACCTACCTTTTTCGAACTTATGGGTCGATTACGGATAGCAACGCAACCACGGTTCGGTTGCCAGCTGGCAACGCAACTGGAAAGAAAATTTGTATTACGAATGGCAGCTATCGTCAGTTTCTGTAGAGTTATCGATAATCGAAATTTGACAGTTCGACAACCAGCAAGCGGCTGTAAACAAGCTGTGCGAGTAAAATTAAATTATTAAAATAAAGACTTTTATATTAAAGAAAAGACTGCAATAAAACTAAGTTCATCACAATTATTTGTTTAAGAGGAAGAGAAGTGCATGAACGCGGCCTCAATCAGGCGACATTTAAAGGGTAATTCCAATCCTCTAGAGCTACCTCCTGCCCTGTAAGCAAAATTTAATGCTTTCAAGGCTTTTCTTTTATTACCGGTTTGTGTTAATTTTCAAATCATATTGAGGACTTCCAAAAGAAGCTGTAATAAACAGATGAATACCTGGTTTATAGTGGATTTACCAGGTCTAAAGCTACACTGACAAGGACCAATCAATTCGTTGACGGTGAGCTTCAGTCTTCCACACAATACGCTCGATAAAACCTTGTAACCTATGATTAAAAGGCTGATCCCGCGGTAGCAGGCGCGTATGGCGGGATCGCTTTTCTTGGGATTGCGCAGAGCACACTTGAAATTTCAGCCTTCGAGCATGCGTTCATCTGACCAAAAGCATAAGAGTTACTGCATGCACGTTATCAACTCTTCGTCGCCGTACTTGAATAGCTCAGCTTTCAGGCCGTCAGCTCCACCAGTTTTGTTGTTTTTCAGCTTTGTAATTGATATTAGTACCTCATAGTCAGGCGGTGGGGCATCGATTCCATCATCAATTGGGCCTCGGGGTCGTCTTCTGCACTACTTTCAGTGCTGTTGCCATTTAATCGGTCACTGGGTCCCAGTGATTATTCTTACAGGAGTTCGCCCCTTTTTTGGAACCCTCCGTAAGTTGCCTAACTCTTTGGTAAAATTTTCAGTCGTTTTTCCTGTCGGCCAGTATTTCAAGCTGTTCGCACGTTTCGGCCTCTCTTATTGCGGCTCATACGTCTCTATTCTATCTATTGTATCTATTTTGAAAACAATACGTAGGTTCATTCAGTTAAAAACTACTATATAAATATAAATAAAAACAACCTTTATTTTCATATTTTGCACAAGAAATATTTTGTCGTTAATTTTGTAGATATTTTACTTTAAGGTTATCAACTATGTATTTTTAAATTTTTAAACCTTATTCTTTGTCACGCTGTAAATAATTTCAAATGTTGCATAAACAGAAGAAGAATAGCCAAAACTAGTCAGAATGTCACTCAACATAATCAGCTGACCGCAAAGGTATATGGTCAAAATAGCCTGTATATTAAATTCCCTCAAAATATTAAGCCATTCCGCACAAAGTTCGAGTTCCACCAAAACCGGGGATTTCTCCACCAGTTGGCATACCTGATTCAGATGTATTTAAATATTTTTGCTTGCGACACTCTTCTATGCACAAGCAAGCTCTTAAGGCCCGTCCACATAAAACTTTGGCGTTGGCGTCGCTTCAACAGCTGACTATGAATACATGAATTCAAGTGCAGCCGTCCACATAGCCAAAATTCGGCAACGCTCACGCCAACACAAAGCAAAAAGATGGCCAACTCTCATCTTTTCGCGTACGTTGCTCGTCAGCTGTTGCAAATAAATAAAATTGTGTGAAATATTTTCCCTTTTTAATCAAGTGCAGGCAAGAAATATCGTTTTTAATGCAATTATTGATATTAAATATTAATTTATCTGTCGTTAGTATGTTAATTTAGTCGCCCAAGCATTCGCTGCCAAGCGTTCATTGTAGCAAGCATTCTTTTAACGTGCGTTCTGTCAAACCAACGCCAACGCCAAAGCCAACGCGAAAGTTCTATGTGGACCGGCCTTTAGTGACATTTTTACGTTTTTTTCTTTATTTCCCAATTAGCACTTTGCTCTTTTTTTGCGAAGAAAGTCATTGTCCTTCCGGTCTATGCCATCGAGGAATAGCTTTTAGCGCAATAACTTGAGCAGGCGGAGGTATTCCTTTCCGGTAGATGCCTATATACGGAACACGTATGTATATTAGGGTGGCCCTTAAAAATGAAATTTTAAGTCTCACCCCTCAGTCGCTAATACAACGGTCAAAGATATCACATATAAATTTTAGTCCCGATTGGAGACGGTTAAGGCGTGTCAAACCGGGGTCAAAGTTCAGATTCCTCTATGGAGACTCAAAAAATTTAAATTATTATTTTTTTTTTATCTATATCACGTATAATTTTTGGTCCCGAGTGGAGTCGGTTAAGGCGTGTTGCACAGGGGTCAAAGTTCAGATGCCCCTATGGAGACTCAAAAAATTTAAATTAATTTTTTTTTCATCTTACCGTACTCAAATCGGGAAGAAAATTTATATGTGACATCTTCGACGTTAGTAGTATCGATTTTGGGTATTAGATGAAAGAAATATTAATTTTAGTTTTTTGAGTCTCCATAGAGGAATCTAAACTTTGACCCCTGTGCGACACGCCTAAACCGTCTCCGATCGGGACCAAAATTTTTGTGTGATATCTTCGACTAGGTATATTACCATCGATGTGGGGGTTGACGTTTAGGAAATCTGATGTAGTAATGTACTTAATACATTTAAGGACCACCCTAATGTGTATAGATGTTCGTTATTGTTGTTGTAGCGGATTACTAAAGCGTCAATTTCACTTTTTTCTTATACTCGTCGTTTTTTATGGCTTTTCCTATTTGCCCATTTGATATTATATCCATTTCGTGGTTCGACATCACGTTTGCGTTTGCATTTTCGTTGTTTGCTGTTTCTCTGTTTTGTATTGAAATTTCATTCAAGTTTTGACCGCTGCTAAACTTCACTGACTTCTACGCTCCAGTGCGCGAGAGTAACGAGGTGTACTAAAAGCGCATTGTGAATCGTACATTGCCGACGAGCACCAATGTTAATGGCAGCAGTTGATGCTCAAAGATAGCGAGTCATGTGCAATATTATTTTCATTGTTATTGTTATGTTTGTGTGAGTTACTTTTGTTTATATGGGCGCGTTGCCTGCTTTGATATTAGCGTTTATTGACGAGGAGGTGCTGCTGCTGGCCCGGTACTCTTGTCGATGATGCCACTAGCAATGGCCGCTGAGCAGCAGCAGTTGCTTGGCTGTTGACAAAAGCAAAGTGGCGCGCTAAACTGATTGACCGCCTGACTGCTCACGTAAGGCTGGCTAACAGGTTCACTGCTGTCTGAATGCTGCTTCACTGACTATCTAGCTGTTGGCCTTTTGTTGTCGTGGTCGTTTGGCTCTCAAAGCGAGTTGGTATATAGTATTTCACATATCCGTCTTCGTCGTCTCTTGGCTGTCGCTACAATTGTTATTGTTGGTGCACTGACATGGCTGTGTCTGGTGGCTCACAGCCGCCAGCGCTGATTTTCATAGCTCAGTGCGCTTTCCTAACTTGAAGGCAACACCGCCAAGCACGCGCAACACGGCAAAGACACAGAACGGAACGTCTTTTTGTCTCTCGGTGTCTCGGCGCCTGGTTGCCGTATTGTCTACTCGGGGTCGTGAACAAGAGCAGTGCACCGCAGCGCTTTGACAAAAAAAATAAAACTAAATAGAATCCAAAGAACAATACTAAGAATACGAATAAAGGGAATTAGGTTAAAAAAAAGTACTAAAAAAAATTGGTTAAAGTGGATAAAGTATTTGCTGGCTATAAAGTGCATTACTCAAACCCGTACATGACCACCAGTAATCGGCCACAATACACTGTGGTTTTAGTCACATTGATATCGTTTTGCTAATTACAATTACCTCATCAGCGCTGCAGCAGCAGCGATGTTGAAACAAAGAAAACGCCAGGAGGCAGAGGAAAACAAAAGCTAAGCTGCCAGCTAGCCATCTATCCAGCCAGCCAACGAGCGTGTTAACTTAATTACTTAACATCGGCGCAAAAGCAAACTAGCGGCCACATTATTGCAGATCAGCGCTAGCGACTGCGGACCACAAGTAATTAGCGTTAAAAGTGCAGCTTCTTCAGCACCAAATTTGGCTACTCAACCTAAATTTTGACTTCCTTTTACTTACATACATACATACTCCAATTTAAGTTGGTGAAGGTACTCTTTTGTTTTTGATGGTACAGCTCCGAATCAGCTTTCCATATATCGGTGCTCCACCGTTTCTGGATTCCATTGCGCTTCTACTAGACCTGCATATGTGGCTGTGATTATAAACATATTAGTTGCGATTTATTCCTTTATTATTGTACTTCGTTGTTGTGCGCCGCTTGTTACCTATTTGTTATGCAATGCCGCACTTCGATGAGTCGTTTGTAAGCGACTGTGATTTCGCCGAGCGCCAGCATGTAATCTCGTATTCACTGGATCGTGGCGTGAAACTCTATCAGAAGCGCAAACTTAAATCACCAAAATTTTTTTATACACGTTATCGGCCGCGTGTGGTCGTAAAAAATGTCGTTCAATGTAAGTCCAAATCAACGCGTGAGCAGCACTATTTATGGATTTGTATGATTGCATGTGTGTACATATATATATATTTTTTTTTTAATTGATTTCAGTGTGTAAAGATAAACGTGTATAAAAATGAAATTTGCAAATAGTTTTGGCTTTCCGGGTATACATTGTATCGTCTGTATAGCCGGTTTTTCCACTCTCTCCTGTGGTTATTATCTGAAGCACAGCGTGTCAAGCAATAAACAAATGAAATATTAACGAAAAAATTCTTGTAAAATTCTGCGTTTTTTAGCGCAGATCGCCTTACTGGTTGTGTCAGTCCTAGATTTGAATCAGCAAATAACTAAAACTTGCGAAACGCTTGCATACGCATACTTGGCGGGCAACGCTGGGCCAGTTGTTGGCCTATAAAAATAATCTATTAAGAACTTATCCAAGCTCACTCACAAATATAGCGGAAATATCCACAATTTATTATACTAAATACTCTTAGCTTAGCGATTTTTGCGGAAACTGCTTCGAAGTCCTGGACAGCCAAAGCATTCAGTGATGGGATGGGAGCGTCAATTTCATTGACATTGACATGTATTTAATAAGTATCTAAGTATAAGTTCAAAATTTACATGTGGTCTCGGCCATTTTGTGTTTTTGGCTGTCACTGTCAAAAAATAAATTAAATAAATTCTAAAGCATATAACACTGTGGAACAAAAAAAAATAGAGTGCGTATATATATGTATATTAGGTTTGATAGCTGTTGGCTATACAAACAATGCCTCATACTCAGATTTCAATTCTTATCCTCGAGAAAAAAAGTTTTGATGATCCAAAAATCTGAGTGTAGCGCCAAATTTTTTTCTCCAAATTTTGAAAATGCATCGTTTTTTTGCTACATTTGTTTGTATGCTATTTTCAACAATTTTTTTTTTCGAAAACACGAATTGGTCTAGTAAAACTGAGTATGAGGCATTGTTCGTATAGCCAGCAGCTATCAAACCTGATATACATATGCGCACTCTAGGTTTTTTCCTTAAGATCATGTTTGTTCAATGGTGTAATTAATACAATGTCCTAAGATGAATAACCTATCTTTATGTGTGCATAGGAGCCCCGATCATTAATTTAAGAACTAAAAATCATGCATATGTTTATCTATCTACCCGGATCTATTGATAACCATAAAAATAAATACTGACAAAATTATAGATATGGATAAATAAATCGATGAATGTTTCCATTTCTACCAATAATTTTATAATCAACTAATGAAGAATCTTATTACTTTTTTTACAGACAGTGCCATCAGTTCTCCATCCACACCTAACTCCTCACTTTCTTCACAATCGAATATTGTTTGTGGAGGTGGTACACCATCGCCAAACACACCCTCGCCCGCCACACCCACATCTCAACAATCCGCAAATACACCGCTGAGCGGCAATAGTGCGATATACCAGACCCCGGGTAGCGGATTTGGTGTTTCGACTTCTGGACATAAAAACAGTTTGAAAGGTACAAAATTGGCGCGTAGAGCGCGCTCTTTCAAGGACGATCTGATCGAAAAAATCTCCATGATTCGCACACCAAACAATACTTTGGGAAGGTAATATTTGGAAAAAAAAAAATTAAAAGTTATTTATGTTAAATATGCTTCGGTTCATATATTTTTGCAGATCCCATTCCCCGCACAGTCCACGTAGCAAACCCATGAAACCCCCACCGACCGCCGAAGAGGTGGCTAAGTCTGCCAGTTCGCTGGAAATGCATGTTAAGGATATTTCAAATGCTTTAAAGCACTTCCGCGATGTTATACTCAAAGCTAAGCTTGAAGTTCTGCCAGGCAATGCAACTGTTATTCTTGAGACCATTGCTAGCATGTACACCGTAATACAGTCATATGCATTGGACAAACATAGCACCGTCCTTTTGTCGGCGACTCAACAAGTGTATCAGTCGCTGGGTAAATTGGTGAAGCTCTGCGACGAGGTAATGCTTATATATGCAGCGCGGCGTAGCGACGACGAAAGATGCGAAGATCATGCGGAAGATGATCATCAACAGCTTAAAGCATTGCTCAGTGAAGATAACGTAAAGGAGATTGTTGATTTGCTTGGCGATGCGGTGCGAGTAAGTCCGGCAAATAATCTACATTTATTTACATAGTACATACTATGTATGTACGTTTTCTTTAGTGTGCGCGCCTATTTGTTCGTGCATTTTATGAGCTTGATCATTGATCACATTGTCCATCTCTCAGCTGTGCAGTGCGCAAAAATTTCGCCATAATAAAAAAAATAGAAATAACACAGAGGCAAACTCGTTATGAATCAGTGCCGCCCTGAGGCAAATTTTTTTAGCTGTGCAAACTTTTTCGACGCTAATGGCGTCGTTGTCTCTCTGATTCAACGATAAAAATAGCGCACAAAGAAAACAAGCGAGAAGGCAAGCAGATTACAAAGTATTAAAAGTACAAACCTAAAAAATATGCATATAAAAATAAAACACAAAAAAGTAAATAAAAGCGTTCAGGGTCAAGTAGAGATGAGATCAAAATTCTTTGTTTTGCAAATTAACGTATAACAGCTTCATCTATCTGTATGTTTAGCTCAATTTTACTAATTCATTATTTTTATTTACTTTAATTATATTGCCTGTTTTCTTTATACTCGTTCTTTAGAATTTGGCGACACTCGCTCAGCAAAAATTGAAGGAACGCGAGGAGAACGCTTTCAAGTATGCACCGAGCAATGTCGACGCCGCTGCAATAGCAGACAACGCTGACGCGTCACAGAATCACTTAATGCGACTGCCGGTGGAAGTTGCTGGTCAACGTACATCGCTGCCGGACATAACGCTAACACCGAAGTAGGCCTAACAAATGACAAACACATATTCGTAACCTACATTTTCTTTCATATTATCGCTCTTGCTATTTAGGAAGTAGGACAGCCATTGAGTAAAGGGGTCATTGGTTGCACTGCACGAATAAAAAGCTGTAGAGATTTTCCTTTTCTTATTTTTCTTAAATGGTACCACACCTTTTGTTAAACCAGTAAGTAGGGTTTCCGTCGACGTAAAAACTTTTTATGTGGAAACAATTGTGTTTCCCAACGTGTTATTCAATATTGCCAGCTTGAAAAAAACATAATTTAACAATTTTGGAAATTTTTTGTAATCTTACCCATAAAAAACGAGTCCATATCGCGTACGAACTGCTCAAAGGGTTTATTTATTGAAATTTTTTCATTCTACTCGATATTTTCTGATAAGATTTAAAACAAAAAACGGGTTGGCAGCAATGTGAAATCTAAAACCATTTAAAAGCTCAATAGTATGTATATTTAAATTTCTACAGTGACACGGAAAGTATGGAAGAGCTTAAAAAATAATATTTCGAATTTCTTAAAAGTTATGCCGGGTTTCCACTAGGCATTAAATGGCACAAATTTTAATGGCATGGTTGGGCACTAAAAATACCTGTGCCATTACGTTAAGAAAAACTGTCATAAAATTCGTTTCAAGATGACATTTTTTAAATGGCACACATATTTCGCCATTTAAATGTCTAGTGGAAATTCGGCATTACAATAACAAATATTTAAAAAATTAAACTTCAACAAAATCACCAATATCACAAAGAAATAACATTTAGTAATAGTATGATATTAAGTAGGGTTGGTAACCCTCCAAAGACCAAGATGAAGTAAATATGTATGTAATTTAAATGAAATGTTACAATTCTTGTATAGGGTTACCACCAGTATTTAATAAGAAAATGACACGTAGTTTAATATACATTACCCTAAAGGTCTTTGAATAAGCTTTTATGTTAAAATGATTTTAATTGGGTTGCTACACATCCAAAACAAAGATGCGGTAAAAATAAAATCATATAAAACATTTGCTACTAAAATTACAATGTGCAATTACTGTGAGCTACGCAGTTCAAACAATACACAATTTACTCTTGCTCTTTTTTGGTATTGTTTCAAACAACGAAAATCTATTCAAACTTCAAAGCCCCTTCCTCAAATATCAATAAGGAAGTGATGGCAAAAACGATCCAGTGAGTCAAAATAATTGAAATTAAGAAAGTCATTGAATTACTTTTGAAAATCAAAAGATAATAATAATAATAATAGATTGGCGCTTACACATATGTTAGTATTTGGCCGCGCATTTGTGGCGTTGATTTTTTAAAATTTTTTTTGTCGCATTGGCTTCCATATAATGAATAAACTCAATTTATTCGTATATGGAGGAAATCCGCAACACCTTTGGCGAAAAAAATTCTAAAAAATCAACGGTAACTTTTAGCCACTTGAAACTTGCACATTATCAGACTAGAATTGAAGGAGCGAAAAAACTGTGTACTCAAAAAAATTCTAACACTTCCGAGAAAGAAGTTTGAAATTTAGGTGCAAATTTGTTGCACTTTTTTGTAGTTTTCTGCAAATTATTAAACTTGGGTTTATATGGGATTTGTCTGAGAATGAACTATATTTTAATTGAAAATTCTTAAAAATAAATAAATAAACGTAAGTGGCACACAATATCACTTTGAAATGGCGTGCTATAGATATGACCGATACTGTACATACATGCAAAATACATAGTATATAAATATGAACGTGCATACGCATGTTTGTACAACATACTAAAATAAAAACATCTAAGTATCTTCAGTTACATTGTTCTAGAAAAAACATATATGTAAATATCTTCGGTAAGGTAAACAAGTCAACTTTACAAGCTGAGTATCTAACGAATGATTGAAAAGTATTGTTGTTACAATAAACAACAAAATATTGAGTTATGTTCTCAAATAAAAAGGCGCGCCTGTTTTCTCGTAAAAAGTTTTTGTTCATGGAAAATGTTCGTTCTGTATCAACAGATGTAACCGGCGCATATTTAAAAGAGGCAATTTTCGAAACCGTGAAGTCGCTTTGGAAGTCGAAGTATTTCCGGCAAAAGTATTGGAAATATTTTTAAGCATTTCAAAACCTTCTTTTTTCATTAACACTGCTCCAAGTTTATTGGTTACGGCAGGCAAGTTCACAGATCCAATTTTACATTTGGCATCATTTAGAATGTCGATGGAATTTTTTAATAAAAGACCTGAAGTTTCCAATTTTTGTATGCTTTTTGGAAGAAATCCATAATTGACACTGATAAAAATGATTTGGTTCTTAAGCTCAGGTTTTTCAAAAAGTGTTTTTGCGGATGCCTCCTCGCCGTCAAGAGTATTAACAATTTACTTTACTACTTCGTAATAGCTAACAGCCTCTAGCCATGATCCCCATCTAGTGACCACAGGCTGTGGTGGCAAAGGCAATTCGCACAGTTCTTTAAACATTTTAATCCTTGACGGCGATTTAAACAAAATTTTTTTGACGTCTGCTACTAAACGGTCAACTAGTGGATGAAGCGAGCGGATTGTTTCACAAGGGCCCGCGTTTGCGCGCCACCACTGAAAATCCTAAGACGCTGAGAACAAATATGCGCATCGTACTGAAGGCTAAAAAAAAACAGTAACAATTTACCTTTAATTTCCAATAATTTGCTTATCAGTTATTGGCAAAAATACAGTGCGATTTTATGCGTCTACTTCGGCCTTTTATTGGTGGGCGCTATTTCCCCTTCGAAATGGAAATAACGCCCATGGGCTTTATTTCTCTTTTTTTTTGGGAAATAAAGGCCATGGGCGTTATTTCCGCGGGCCTTATGACACTCCGCCTATCATATGCTTTATCAAATGTAGCTAGTTTTATTCGTTGCGAAGTAAAATATCCAAAAATGTAAAGATCTTGGACAGGTTACAGCAATTTTACTAATTGCGGGCCCCTTTTAAATAGATTTCCTTTTAACATTCGCACAATCGTGTTGCAATTTTTCTGGACCGATTCTCTTTGTCGACCTCCACGATATTACCTTTGGTTAGAAATTCGTATTACTCTTACGTTAGAAACACCTCGGGAATTTTCTAATTTATGAATTTTTGAATTTGCATTCCTTGCCCTATAACATTTCTGAAAAATAATGCACACGAAAGGTTTTATCTAAATAAATTCTATACATTTAGAAAAGCGAATGAAGCTCGAATATTTTTAAGGTTAGATTGCAAGGCATTATCGAACCACTCTCCCTCACATCCTTATCAATCATTACATATGTACATATGGACCTAAAACACACAACGGACATACATAATTAACTTATTTGATGGTTTATAATTTCAGGGAACGTGATATTTTAGAAAAAACCAACTCGAATCCCATACGCGCATCTCACAGTACCGAGAGTATACTGCGTGATACGAGTCCACCACCCAAACCGCCGCTACCAAACAGGTGAGAAAATGCCGAAAGTATTCGTTGATAACGCTATTATTGGTTTAATTCTTATACAATTGATAGACCACCACCGCTGCCGCCCAAACGTCGTAGTCAACAGCAACAACAACAGAATTCTCATAGTAAAAGCATCAACTCAGACTTGGATTGGAGTTCTGACGTTTCACTCGTAAACTATGGTGTTGATTAGTAAGTTGCTGCAGTGCTAAAGCAATTTCAAGATCCTGCATTGTTTATATTTATGTACATTTTAATATCTATTATCAGTAATCTATCCGTGCGGTCACACTCGCCGGACGAAAATTCTAGTCAGTGTTCGCTAGATTCGGAATTGAATCACTCGCGCGAGGAGGAGGAGCTCAAGTCATTGGTGTTGGGCAATCGCCTCAACGAAAGCACGCTCGATAATGATGTAGATACATTATTCATATCCAGTAAGTTTGATCAATAACCGCATCTTAAGTATACATAATACTACTTATTTCATATTACAATAATAAATATGTATACATAAATAAAAAAACACGAATCTCGTATTTACATAGAACCACTCACAAGCGGTGGCAAACGGGCTATGTTGAACAGCAAAGTAGCTGGCAACAAATCAGTTGGCTCTATTAGTGGCGTCGGCGTTGCTGGTGAGCCTCTTAACACCGCTTTTAGCGCACCAGCACAAAACGTCTTCGATAGTTCCAAACACGTTGGGGTCAGTGGCGATGATGCTGATGAATGTGATTATATACAAAGTGTGAATAGTAATAACGGCGCTGGATGCACAGTGGATAAACTGGAAATGCGCAAAAATACTAACAATCGTCATTCCAACGAATCGGGTACTTAAAAAATCAACTATGCATTTGTTTTGAATGCATTCATATGTTGCGATCATTTTTGTTGTCACTAAGCTTCGATGTGATTTCGTTTTCTGTTAGTTTGTTTGATTTATATATTTTAAAACGCATGTCTCCCGCCATAACGTTTTTTTTTGTGGCTACCAGTAATAGAAAGATATTTGTCTGTTCAACTTATTTAACGTATTGTTTTGTCATAGTAATTATTTCTATTGCACCTTTCTATTGCAAGTGTTTGGTTATAGTTGGCAACTAAAAGTGGTGTACCACCGTTTTCTTTTTCAGGCTTTGTTTCGATGACATCTGTGCGCACCTCGGCGCAGAGCGTATCGAAACGTTCATCCGATGGTGGCTTTCAATCATCAACCAAATCTAGTTCTAATTCGGAAATAGCTTTCGAGGCCATTGAATCGTCTAGCAGTGGGGAATTCCACACCCAATCGCAAGAGTTCCACAACCAGCAAACCACATGTTCTTCTATGACGAATGCAATGTCGTCCACAATGATGACAACATCGAATAGCATCATGAATAATATGTCTACACTGGCGCACGATGCGCGCTCGATTAGCAATACAAGCAGCGTTAGTCCTGATCACTATGAAAGCGGTGGAATTTTAACGGAACGTTCGGTTCACAACAGCAGTAGTAGTCACGTGCAGTCGTCGTTTTCATCGTTGGTAAAGGCTAATAGTTTGGATACCACTTCTTCTTCGGATGGTGGCATGGGTTCACACAGTGATCTAGTGCCGCCCGCGCTGCCGCCCAAAACCAGTCGCAGTAAGGAGGCACGTATATTCTCTCAGTATGATAATTTTGATGAAATGGACGATAACAATAGGTAAGTGAAGTATGTAGTGTAATGGTAAATATTAAGCAATGTACATATATCGTACGAGATTGTGCCTCACCGCACCTTAAAGTGTTGCACTCGATACTATTTTATCCTAATAGATGGAATCTTCTCAAGAAGATCACATGCTAATTTCTCGATATCGATTACTTTGATTTCGATGGTGTAAATCAAATTTAAGTTGCTCAAGTTTTCGTTTTACGTTTCTTGATAACATAAACTATATACATACATATATAACAAAAAAAAAACAACATCTCATAGAAATTTTCTTCAAGTATTTCACAAAACTTTGAATACAACATTAAGAGTGTTCGCTATGCAAAAAACTTGCAAGGAGAGAGCAAAATTTTGACATTTCATTTGGAGGGGAAGTTGAAAATTCAATTATTCAATTAAACTTAATTTCAAACATTTGAAAGGTATTCGGCTGAAAAAGTTGTATTCGTAATCGGAACGCAGTCAACACCGCTGTCGATATAGGAAATCCGACAGTGACTTCCACAAAGAAGTTGAAGCGTATGTTGAAGAAAGTCAGAATAAGAAGAAATAAACGTATAGATCTTGTTTTGTTTTCCAACTGAAATAATTTAAAAAATTTATTTTGTTCGAAATGCAACCGTGGACGCCAGCTGGCAGTGAAGCTTGCAAATGTTTGCTAATTCCTGTTCGCGCAACACTTAGTAAGTTTCGCTCTTTGGTAGAGTAAGATACCTTATTCTCTGAATTTTGTTACTGGTTAATTCTTACTGGCTTTTGCATAGCGAACGGAACTATTTTGTCTGTTCAAAGAAAAGCAAAACTCCACACGAATCAGATGGATTCGATCTATATTAAAAGATTTCGTACTATTTTGGCCTTATCGGATTTTCGGTGCTTCTTTTAGACTTAGTAAATTTTCCTTTCATTGAATATAAAAGAGAATAAATAAAACAAATGCCTTCATCCTTTTCGAAACAACGCATTTTAAATTTCTCTAGCCCTCTGTATCAAAATATAAGTTTTCATAAAAGTGGACTTAGCAACTTTTCACTCTAAGCTAACGATATGTAATTTAGCAGAGGTAATAGTCTTGGCAGCAAATGCTCATTAATAGTATTGATAATAAATTGTCCGTTCTTTTTTCAGCGAACTAGCCGAACTTCGACCGCATCATCACTATAACTTCAACAGCTATAGCCAGCATAATCAACACTCATTGCAACAGCATCATAACCATCATCATCAATATCAGCATCATGTGTCGCAGTGGCAGCAAACTAAACATCAAAGTCTCATCGAATCGCGACGTATCGGCGGCGGTTTTGTTAGCAGTTGCACAACTATGGGTAGCATTGGAGTCGACGTCAGTGGCAGCGGCAGCGGCAGCGGAAGCGGTGCGGAACAACCACCGCCGCTACCCATCAAGAAAAAGCACAGTAAGTTCAATCACACGGTATACACAATTAATTTATATTTTTGTTTCTTTCTCTTCTGTTTTCTTTTCCTATTTTCCACACACTCACTTAATGTACGTCACATATTGGGTTTGGTTTTATATTGTTTTGTGCAATTTGTTTGTGTACCTTTTGTAAAAATACACATTTACACCCACACATTCGTGCACACTCGCATAAATAATTCTATTATTGGCGCACACACGCCCACGCAAACGAACAAAACCACATAAACAAATCCGACTATAAAATTGGATCCACTGATTTCCTGATTGTGGTTGGTGGTGGCGGCGATGGTGGACCATTCACTTTCACCTTCGCATAAAATATCTATTTTTTTTACTGCTTTATACATAATACGTATGTTAATGAACCGTGGCAACAATACACATACACATTATGCACTACAATTACTCTATTGAAAACCTGATTTAATGATATAAAAAAATTCTTATTTTAATATTATCTATTTCGTTTACTTTTCTATTCAATTCCATTTTTTTTTAACCTTACGCTAATAGTATTTGTCATAAGTCTCTTGCATATAACATCAAACACAAAACACTTAGACGCAACTCAAAAATCACAACAACAGCAGCGACTGTTATTGACCACGCAAACGAAACGATTATTCGTCAAACTACTCCAGTTACTTCCATATTTTGCGCTATACTTCCTTTATGTAGTAACGGGTATCGCAAAACATACAACAAACTCCACAATAATAATTTCACTGACTTATTTAGCAATAACAAGGAAACCGAAACCGACAAAACAGTAACAGCAATAGCTACTTCAACCACACCAAAAACAGCAGAAACCAATAAACACTATTATAAACATAATAACTGTAATGATAATAGTAAATGTAATATTGTCTTGCGGAAAACTCTAACCCTAATGAATTGTTCTAACGATTTAGTGTTTCAAAGTGTGGCCTTCTCGGGTAAGTCAAGTTTGCCTGCCTCCTCCACTCTTAGAATGCAAAAAAGTATAATATAGTGCAACTGCATCATTTCTGTTATTGCTTTACATATATGTACATATGTATGTTTAAAATTCAAGTTGCAGATACTTTTTTATCTAATGCTTGCTGTCTTTGCGTTGATTCATTCCGTGATTGATTTCAAGTTCAAAGCAGTTTGATTTCGCATTTACTTTCTGTTTGGCGCACATCATCCGCTTTACGTAACGTTACCTAATATATGGGCGAATCCGAGAAATAGTCAAACCAAATCGCAAAAATGCATGCAATGCGAATTTTCTAATTTTTGTGTCAAGAAAGGCATAGTACAACCAAGGTGTATTAAACAAGGTGTGACTGACAACTCAGGGCGGCTCTCTTTTAAGGTATTATGCCAAAAAATATAAACAAACGATTCAAAATTCATAAAATTTTTTTTCAATTCGACTACAGGATGGTTCTGTCAAATTCAATCACACTTTGTTAAATACATTTTGAGTACAACATATTCTTATTTCATATTTCTTTTCACATTTATTTGAGAAATCCCCTCTTACTTCTTGAAACAAAGCTCTAAATAGCATTGGTTTTAAGCGCTATAGCTTTAAATAGATCTATTTTTTCAACGGAAAAGAAGAGTAACGTCCGCAACGTAACGTCCCGAACGCACATATACAATTGTTTTAAAGTTAATCCAACCTTTAGTTTGCTTTTATAGCACAATTTGTAAACTTCATTATTTTCCCGCCAAAGTATTTTTGCAGATTGTGCTCTCCATGCATAACAATTTGCGCAAATCGGTTGACTTTGATGGTCATATCAAAATCGCTTCCTTTTTCAGTAACGTCCGAACATAAATTTCGAAGGAAAATACACCGACATTAACTCAAATTCAAATTTCCATTATTTTGTTCTCATAAGTACTGCTATCATAAGGGGGGGGTCTCAGGACTTGGCTTCACTTGGCGTTTCAAATTGGCGTCAGTTGGCACAGAAGAGAAACGACTGGCGTGCTTTGCTGAACTCGGCCAAAATCGCTTAGGCAGTTACAGCGCCAAAAAAGAAGAAGAAGAAGTACTGCTATAAAGCTTCCCTAATACCACAACAAATTTTAATTTACAATATTTTTGTCGGCAAAAAAGTTAAAAGAAACATCCGAACGTAACGTCCGGAACGCTAGGATTTGCCCATATTGGTCAACGCAATATATTTTGGTTCAGGAATTTTTGATATGGCTTATGGCGGCAAAGTGACAACCAGCTGAAAACAAAATATTTTCGCTTCTGGCTTAGTTGAGGTGTTGAGTAATTATTGACTATTTCTTACGTAAGTTATGTTATGAGAGTAACTGAGCCTTAAAGTTTTCTTTAAGTAATTCCTAAAACAGCAACAGAAAAGATTGTTTTGAGAGCTTAGTGATATAGACTTACACCCAAATTCATAAAATATATTGAACACTTGTAACTGCTTTATAAATCGAAAATTTGTATGAAAATATCACTTTATAGGGCTCTTTAAACCTATTTTATTTTTTTATGAATAAGGCCATTAGACTATAAGCTACGAAATTTAATCGACTTCCAAAAAAGGAGGAGGTTGTCAGTTCGTCGGAATATATATATATATATATTTTTTTTTATATATGTTACCGCATAACTTTGGACCACGTCAACCGATTTCGATAATTTTTGCATTGAAAAGGTAGTGTCTCAGAGGTGGTCCCATACTAATCTGGTTTAGTTCCGATCATTGGATCATGAAATATATATGTATATATATATTTTTTTAAGTCGAGTTTTTTTTTGCTATAAACTACTTGTTTTATTTTTTGACTGACTTCACAAAAAGGAGAAAGGTAATCAATTCGTCGGGTTATTATTTTTATGTATGTTACCGCATAACTTTGGACCACGTTAACCGATTTCTAGAATTCTTTTTTTAAATGAAAGATGTTACCTCACAGGTGGTCCGTTATTAATTTGGTTTAAATCCGATCATCGGTACATGAAGAAATTAACGGTAATCGCAGCATACGATTGCGAATGACTCACTGGCGCCGAGCCGTTGAAGAACTTTTGGCAAATAAACGTGCAAGAAATAGTTCCGATACTAGCAAGTCAATATTCTTATTAAGTCTCATCAAAAAAATCTTTGTCGTTCAAAGGATAAAGGGAATGCCGCATTATACTAAAGCCCGATTCTCGACATAAGCTACTATTCCATACGAACACAGATATCTATTGGTGAATAAATATATGTATGTACGTTTCTTTTTCAGTCTAATAAATAATTACACAGTTAACAAAAAATAGTTTGTGCATACCGAACCTAACCTCTATATTCCTATGTTATTCAACGCGCTGAATGCCAATTCGAGGTCTCTGTTAGCCTCCATCACGACAGGTTCGAGGTCATTTGAAGGTCAAGTAAGGAAAAATTCATTGAATAAACCTGAAAATTCATATATATGGGTTTTTCGACTCACTGAACCCGTATACGAGGTCCATTAACCTCCATAATATCAGGTTCGAGATCATTTTGAGGGCCAAATAGGGAAACATTTATTGTCATTTTGTTGTCATCAAAAAATGTCAAATTTTATTACATTAAATTTTATTAAGTTTTCACGTTTATTCAATGAATAGGAATATAAAGGTTTGGTTCAATATATATTTTTTGTAAACCTGTGTTATTATTCTTTGTACATACAGTTTTGATCTTTTATTTTATTAACAAGAAGAGCTAAGTGCTAAAGTACTACATTTTCAATGCTACAATACCAACGCCCACCTTCCATAGAATGGTAATTTTCAGAAAGTCGGAATGTATAACTTGATTTGTAAAAAATGGGCGTGGCACCGCCCACTTATGACTACAACATTTGAATGTTTATCACTTTAACCGATTTATAGATTTCTTCCAAGTTCAGTACAATTATCACAGTTATTGGTATTAAAAGGCAATGTGTCGAAAATTTTTGAAATCGCACTAAAATTGCGCCCAATTCCTATAACAATGAATTTCAGAAATACGAAGTGTCCTAATTTACTCCAACTTAATTCTTCCAACTATCTCTTAACAAGAAAAAAGATTATTGTAGCTTTTGGAAAATGGGCGAGGCACTGCTACACAAGAGTATCTCGGTTACCGCTTTATTGATTTATACCAAACTTGCGTAAATTATTTCATTAAATCCAACTGAGCATATTGTCGGGAATTTTAAAAATCGTGGGGAAAAACACCCCTTATTATCATGTAAACTACAGAAAACTGAAAAAACGACATTTAATACGTGTGCTGGGTATATAAAGCTTGGTTTCCCTCCAGCCTTGACTTCTTTACTTGTTTAATTTAAAAACAACAAAAAAATTCGGATGGATAATAATTTTCCACTTACTTATTGAAATTAGAGTTCAAGATTGTTAATTTCTATGTGAGGACACTTGCTGGGAATGTAGAACTTGATTTGGAGACTCTACAGAGTTGACTACTTAGTAAAAAATGTTGAGATTTTCCTGATTTGGCTGTAATAAAAGGCAACATTTTCAAAACTAATGGCGTTTTATTTTCTACCGAAAAATGTTGCCTACTACATGCCCTCATCGCGCAAATGCTAAGGAAAGAGCAATGGGAAGGCAACATATTTTGTAGAAAAGAAAACGCCATAAGTAATTGAAGTTTAAGTGCACGTACACAGAAAACGGCGCTGAGTTGAGCCAAGCTGTGAGCAAAGTTTTCGCGTGAAATCGGTCTTACACTGCTTCAAAAAGAGTGTGTTTTCAGTAGATCAAAATAGATTTGTGATACATATTTTTATTTAAATACTCTAAATAAATACGTATGCAAATAAAAATTAAGCTCAATAGCCTCCTTAAAAAAAACTGATTAAGTAAAATATCAACAGCAATTAATCTCCCTCATTGCGAGAGTCGTGTCGAATGCAACTCGTTTTTGGAGAGTCGAATCGTATCGAAAATTTCACGTCATTTCCCAAATTTTCCACTCGACTAGTGTATTA